TTTCTTCTGCAATCAGAGGAAATAACAGAACAGCGATTTTTTTGGTCAGTAGCTCTAAGATGAAACTTCCAGTCAAGACATTAAAAGCTCCATCATCAGTCTGAGTTTATTTCCTCAAATAATAACCTACTTATACCACAAATATCTACTGGTACTTTAAGTTCTGTGTGTTTTAAGCCATATATATGCTGTGATTGCCAGCACCTGACCTAGAGCCTGGCCCACACCTGGGACTTATTCACCAGTAGCTGTTAACTCCCTGGGTTACTCCTGTCTTCTATTGACCTGAAGGGAAGGCAACGAGGCTTCACCCAGACATGCCTCCTTGAAAACCTTTTCCAGGATGGCTAGCTGGGTGCCAGGTCAGTGGTTTGGGCTGGGGAGAGGTTTCACTGGCCAATAATGGGGAGAAATCCTGCCAAAGGAAAGCCCGAGTCACTAATACATCATTGTTACTGCTAACTCTGTCTTGCACATGGGAAACTCCGGTACCAGGGACGGGAAAGGAGCAGCTGTTCCAGTGTTTGTATGTAAGTTCTTCAGGCAATGAGGTTATAGGGCACATAAATGCAGGATTCCCAGTAGCCAAGCACTGGATGAAGACAGAGTGCTGAATGAGCACCCACATTTGTGAAGGATGGATACCTCTGAATTTGTGTCCAACCCTGTAAAGAGTAAGACTAGTATAAGCTACGAGGCTAAATATGATGATGTCTGTTTTACCAGGTAAGTGGACAAGCTGATAACATGATATTAACTTTTAACTGTGAGTAGCCAGAGCTTTGGCTGATCTGGTAAAATGTATTTTACAAAACAACAAAAGAAAACAGCTGCTAAATGCAAACTCTACCATATTAGGAAGAACTCAGAATATTAAAATTTCCCACATATCTATTTATTCAAAAGCATATCCAAATACATAGCTTTTTTCTTTCTTTGAACAAAAGGCACAAGCAGGAAAAGACATTACTTTTCAGGGGTCTTGAAGCTGCCTGTGCTCCTGCAACAGCCGTGGGGGGGCCGGCTGCTGACAGTGTATCAGGACACTTTGTTCTGCAGACATTGTCAGGGAGGTTTTGTTTTGCTTTTAATTGTCTCAATAGAGGAGGGGAAGCCTCTGCCGAGAGGCTTTAACACAGCTTCTCTGCTGCCTATTAATTCCCAAGATCTCTCTAACTAGCTTTGTTTCCTCTTTAGAGCCCAGCACTCTCTTTTGCCGGAGCACGGAGCTATGTATGCGCAGCGTTTGTCACTTGGTTAAAGCCAGCATTTCCCCACTGCCGCAGACAAGGCTGCCCTTTATTGGCTGCTGAACAAGATAACGGATTTAATCTTCCCAGTAACACGTGAGTTTTCATGTATCACTTTAATCTGCGAAACACTGGGGCTGAGTGTACCGTCACATGCCGATTTTACTTTTCTATGAGCGAGTGACTCCCCGGCTCAATGATGGATTGTTTGCTCTCTTTTAAACAACAGTCAAGATGGTGAATGCCCCGGGGTGATAGACAGTGTGCAATGGGAACGGCCGCAAATCTGATGGCCCAGTTCAAGTTCACCTGACAAAGCTGGAGCAGTCTGCAAGCAGCATTCGAGAAAGGATTATTCACACTAGCATTATATTTTTGAATGCATTTTTCTTCCTGCGCAGCTGCCCAGCTCCCCAACACTGAAGGTTTATGCACCATAATAAAGAGATTTAATTTTTTTTTTCTCTTGCGTCTCCCTCTTTACACCTAGTTCTAATCGGTCAGTGCAGTGATAGGGCATCTTTCCAAACAACTCGGCACAAACATCACCTAGAAAACAATGGCATTGCTAAAAAATGGGAACAAAAGCCTCCAAATCTCTCCTGGCTGCAGAAACAAAAGCAGATGGTTTTGTTAAAGCTAACTGTGTTGGGAACCCATTTTTTTTGTGGAAGTTTGATGCTGTGTTCCCTTTCTCATCATGAAATTCTCCCCAAATAAACAAGTCCAGCCCTTGAACTCTGGTGCAGTGGAACACCAGGGCTTTGGTGGAGAAGGGGAGAATTTGAAATGAAGGTAGCTTTGTACTGCTGGTGTAGTGGGAAAGCTACATACTGTTTATCAGACGAAGAACCCTATAATACACGTGTGAGTGCACACGCACGTATTCTGGAGGTGTTGGAATGGTCTTTGAAGAGTAAAATCTACATCTCATCATATTTTATTCTGGTTGGAGAGGCGGGGTTCTGAGCAGCAACAAGTTAGCTCCAGTCCTGTGGATGTATTCCAGTCGTATGTGGCACTGGTCAGGGGAATACGTGTAACTGCTTCTTGAACTTCCCCAGAAGCAGCTTTTCTGCCTCCCAGTTAGACTAATAACACCAGGAAATATGTACTGAAAGAATTTAAGTTGATTGCTTTCTTTCACCTGTGGAATAGAGAATCAGCTGCAACCTGTATATGTGAAGATATGCCTCCTGCTTTAAATCCAAATCTCCAACGCACCCCTCACAGAGGCTGAAACAAGCGTTCTCCTGTAAACCCAGGCAGATTAATCCCTATTGGAAACTAACATCAAAGCCCATTCATCCTGGTCAGGTAGCTCATTAAAAGTCTGTCCGCAGTAGACATAAGATGGACGATTGAATTTTTTAGCACTAAAATGCATTAGTCAGCATATTTGATTTGAAAAAGCTTTCATCACAGTCTGAATTTGGGTAATATTGGCAAAGTTTTTATTTTTTTTTCATTTCAACCAGACACTCCAGTTGGCTTATTCAGCATTGAGTGGGCGCAGCACTTTGTGTGAAGAGCTCCCATTCCCCCTTTTTAGTGGCTCTTTTCTCTACAGCACGTGTATATGTTATCTGACCACACCAGCAGGTTGGAGTCTTTTCAGCTGTCCAGCCTGTGTGGAGAAAAAAACCAGGATTTAAGCTGTTCAGCTAGAATTCACAAAGTTGGGAAGGCATCACTTTCCTCTGTGTGCTTCTGAAATTTACTGTGACAGAGTAACTCTACCAGTTGGGTCTCCTGGAGGCAGGTAAGTGGTTACCAGCACGTGAGTCACTGGAGGTGTTAATGGATGTGTTACGACCCTTACATTCATCATACTCATCGGTGGGCCTGTGCTCCAGACAGGGGTAGGGGCAGGAAGGACAGACCTGGTGCCGGCAGAGCTCACTTTCTTTGGCATTGGAGTGTGTTGTCAGTGGGAAGGGACCAGCATAGCTCTGCACTTCATACTTCCCAGTTCTCCAGGTGGTGGCTCCCAAGAGTCCCAGGAGGTCACATGAGTGAATTGCAAGCTTTAGTTTAAAAAAAAAAAAAAAAAGAAAACAAAACAATGAAAAAAGCCCACAAAAGGTTGTTTCATAAAAAGCAAAAAGCTGCAGCTGCCTGTAACCCAAGCACGCACTGCTGAACTATGTGGCCAGTGTACATGCCACAGGCTGCTCAGTCCTGGTGTTAAAAATCAGGGGCTCTCTGCATATGCTCTATAACAACCACAAACGATAACAAAAATACTGCTAAAATGTTGGAGTTAAAGCACTAACGAAGTTGCAGCTGTTTGTATGTGTGCTAGTAAAGTGTGTTCCCAGCACAGGCAGAGTCGTCAAGAAACCCCCCATCATGTAGGTACAAACTTAGTCTTTGGCTGTACGGGTGGAGTGGGGTGGGAGGATCAGGGTCTTGGGGTGGGTTGTGGGTAGGGGCAGTGTGTAAATATATCACTGGAGTATTATTGGACATCTGCTTTACTTTCACAAATGTATCTTCTGGCATGTGCCAGAAAAGCACCAGAACAGGAGCTCTGCAGGCTGTGCCTTGACCAGCACTGAGGCACAACCCCTCGAAGGTGTTATCCTTGCTACTGGCAGCAAATTGCAAGTCCCCTTCTGTCAGTTCCCTCCCAGCCTTGTCGGGGACTAGGCTGAGAAAGGTGCCTCTCCTTCCTGAACACCTTCCACCTCGCAGCTCTGTGAGGCTGGATTACAGGGACTCAAAGGGAGGGGTGCTTTGCCTGTCAAGTTGGAACCAAAACTGGCACTGAGGCTGCTTGTTCTGCATCAGTCCTTGTCCTTGTTAGATGCTGGATTGTCCCTAGAACTGCCCCTTTGTACAAGTGGCTATGCTCATGTCCAGTGAGATTATTGGTGGGAATTATAGAGTTGGTCACCAAATCTGTGTCATTCCGAGTTTCATTACAGGCAGAAGAGGTGTACTGGCCTCAAGTGGGAACTGTTCTTCTTTTGGGAAAGTCTTCTGAGAGTTTGTTAAATGTAGCAGTCTGAAATTAATCATGTAAAGCATGGCCTCAACTGGGAATTCTTCTTTTGGGAAAGTCTTCTGAGAGTTTGTTAAATGTAGCAGTCTGAAATTAATCATGTAAAGCATCTCTTGGTTCAAGAACAATATTTTTTTCCTTGCAGAGCAACAGAGTTTTCTTGGCTGTTACAGTTAAAACCATATTTCCATCTGTAGATGTTGTGTGGTCACACACACACATAAACACACACACCTCTGAAAGAAAGTTTTTTATTTTTTTAAGCAACCCAGAACATTATCACTTGTTCCCTGAAACATTTAGACAAGTTTTTGAGAATTTTAGAGATGGTTGAAATACAGTTCTCTGCTTCTGTCTCACTCCATCTCATACTCCATTTCCAAGGAGCAGATGGTGCCTGTTGCCCTTACTGGGTCTGCTAATGGATTAGAAGTTTATAGTGTCTTGTACACCTCTATCTGAATTTTGGAGGCTGTTTTACTCGTCTGATGTTCTTCTGTTAATATTTACAGATAGCTATGACAACACGAGGATCAGATGGTACACAAGATGGTAACGTGGTATTACCAGCCTGGATGGAAAGACCAGAACTTGCCAAACCCGTGCAGGTAAGGACTGACCTCCTCTCATGGGTGTCGTCTCAGTGGCTCTTTTCTCACAGTGACAATATCCTCCTAAATATGCGTAGGATAAAATGCTGTCCAGCTTATGGGTCATTTTTTGTTTCACTGCTTTGTGCAAGTCTACATTGGCAGCTCTACTGAGGGTCTTGTTAAAGAAAGGCAGTGACAGATTTCATTGCACTCTACATGTTGATTATTGAAGAAGTAATAAATTCCTTTCTTCCCAAAGTTGGAGTGTGAGATGTCTTTGCTATTAAGAGAGTGAATCTGGGGGTCTGTGAGGTAGATGAGGCCTTTCCCATTACCTGTCACCCAACCTGCAGAAGAAAGGATACATCTTAGTATTAAAAAATCACACCCTTTGCAGTACCGTAGTCAGGGCTGTCTGCTTGGCACAGCCCACACTCTGTTAATGTCACTTCAGTGATTCCCAGTGTGTGCCCATCTCAGCAAAAGCAGCACCCTAAGAAGTACGTAATGAATATTTCATTAAATGAACATCATAAAGATACCTGTGTGCTAAAGATTGAGTCTGAAGGGTTTTATCCTTGCCTCTTAACCAAAGATCTCAATTCTCTGTTAGGTGAATAGGGGACTTTTTTTTATGCTTGCCAATTTTATGAAGGAGGAAGTGTGACAAAACCCACTCCCTCTTTCAGTGTTTTAGATGGTTCCCCAAGACACATCCTTGCAGACCGGCTTTAGTCTAACTGGACACAGACCACTCCATGGTATGAAGCTGTGGCATACTGGGGAGCTTGTAGCTTATGTGGTCTTGCTGTGACACAGCACAGAACAAGAGCATTGCTCAAGGGAGAAACATACCTGCACATACCTCCCTCGCTTTACGTAATTCATAGACAGTACGTCCTTTATATAGCTTATTCTGCAACAGGAGAGAATATGCAATAAATTAAGTTCACTGTAATACAAACCTTGCAGATCAACAACAACGTCTGTTCCATTCGAGAACTCATAGGAGAAATGGCCGTAGGCCAGACCATACTCTGTGGCTTTGTACTCGTTCTTTACTACCTTTGTGTTATTGGACAGCTTTACAAACTCCCCAAGGATGTAGGGCTCCACGCTCACACACCCTTTTATAGTTCTGTCTTCCAGTATCTGAAAAGAAAGTTCTAATGACAGTCATGCAAGCAGAGATGTGAAAACAAGGATGCTATAGAGACACCTGTATCTTGAGGTTAGATTCAAATGAGTCTGACTTCCCCAGCCGAGAGAGCAGAGGTCATGAGGGGGTGTTATTGCTGCTCCTTTCTTAAATCCAGGCCTCAAAGAAGTTGTGAGAAAAACAAGAAGTATAAACTGACTAATTTTAGGTCAAAAATTAGCAAAAGTTTCCAGTCATCAAGAGAGCAGCTCTAGAATGATTTCTTATTGGAAGCAATGGAGGTTAAAACACAAAACACAACATGGCTGTTTTTAAGATATGTCTTAATGAGTGTAAAAATGGATTATGCAGTGTTATTGCCTGTGATATCAGGGCACTAGGCCTGATGAGTCATGGAAAGGTCCTTTCCAGTTCTGTGTTCCTGAAGTTTAGCATCATGCAGAAAATGCCTCAAAGTTGTCCTGCAGCAAATCAACTTGTCTGCAAGAACCTCACTTGCTGGGTTCTAGTTACGTGTAGATGTTTTTGTCATGCTCAGAATGGGTCACTTTGTTCTTCAGATTTCATAACTACCCCTGAAAATAGATGTTCGTATACTGTTAAAATTTTATAAAAGGCTGGGTGACTCCTGGGCTTCACTGATAAGTTAATTTCTGACTTCTAACAGGACACAGCATCTTTTCTGCCAGTTCACCTACGAACTCACAGCTCTACTGTAGGTGTGGCCGGTCCTGAATGAGCGAATGCACCTACCAGCTAAGACCACATGCATTACAGCGTGCCATCTAGAGGAGGCCTAACTCCTAGTATTTTAAAATCAAAATTGGCTTAACATCCTCTTCCCATCAATTCATTTGCATTGTTTAGAAGACAGTTCTTACCAGGAGTACTGCAGATGGGATATAAAAGATTTGAGTAGGGACCTTTTGCTCATACAGCCTTTTGTTGAATTCTGTCACGTAGTACTGGGCAGTCATTTGCCGTTCCACATCACTGAAATGATGAAGAAGCCCTTTTTCTTCTTTATATTCTTTCCCAACATACCTAAGCAAACAGAGAAGTGTTTGGTGTAGCCAGATTTGCAGCAGACTGCATTTGGGAAGCCCTACTTGTGACAGAGAAACATCGCTACAAAGCAGAGCTTGGCTGTTCAGAAGCAAAGCCAGCTGTTGGTGGTGCATTTACAATGGCACTGATTAGAGTTGTGGGTTTTTTCTTGCATATCTCTTACAGGCATAAAATGCTGCACTGATCAACCAAATCCTGGAACGGGGGGTTTCATGACACCAGAATGTTTAAAATCAACTCTTCCTGACTGTGTATGGAGACCCAACCCAGAGGTACTTAAAATGCTGTTCTTAACCCAAAATAAATCATAAGCTACTTCTAATAACAATCCCAAACCTGCAGTTAGCAGAGCTTTTCTGGTGCAGAAGCCTTGATGAAGCAAATAGGTGATTTTAATCCTGCTTTCAGACAAGATGCATTTATTGCATAAACCCAGTGCCAAAATTAAAGAAAAGCAACTGAAACACCTTTCTGCCTATAGCTATTGATATATATATATGCATATCTCTCTATATATATTGCCATATTGCTAATTCTCTAATGCAAAGAAGGCCAAATAAAAAGGAAGCAACTTTTAAGATCCCATGAGATTACCCCAGCACAGGTGGGGTGAAGTCAGGCCTAAGAGTTGTCACGATGGGCACTAACATGGCTGTTGGACCACAACAGTGAAGTAGCTTTTTCTTCACAGAAATTCAACAGTAGAGAGTCACATGGAGTGATGAAAAGAATCAGCATAGTAAAGATTGACAAAATGCCTGAGAGTTGGGAAAGCCATAAAACAGAAAATCAGTCAGAATCTAACCAAATGTAAACTAGGCTGAAATACAATAAACAAACAATCTTCTCTAATTGTGACTATGATTTCTGTAGCTGAGTGAAAACTTGTACTATCTTCTGAAAATACTTGATAAAAGTTACTGTCCAACAAGGCACTGGATGAGCTGAATCATACATATAAGACAAACCTTACCAGACAGTTTTTATTCACATTGACACAGAAGTAGCATTGATAAACATTTTGTTTCAGAAATTGATTCGGTCAGTACCTTCCCAGGCTTTCTTCTTGGTGCAAGAAGTGTATCCAAAATGCACGTCTCTGTTTGCCTTCCTTTGCCACATTCAGGTAGTCCCCAATAAATACAGCTGTTTCTTGGCCTGTCCAGAGGCCTGATTTCTTTGAGTATTTTAAAAGAAGAGCAGCTACAAAAAGAAAACACCACAGGTAAAATGGACAATTCCACAGGACTGCTCTAAGCCTGTCCTGAGGCATGAAATACCAGCACCCAAGAGATAAGATATCCAGGCTCCCCTGAAAGCAAAGAATTGGGTTATAAAAGATAAGCTAAGAGATATCTGGGTGCAGAGTTGGATATTTTACATTAAGGACAAAAAAAATTTCTAAACAGTCTTGAGACATACAAGATAAGCCCTAAGTGGGTTGTACTAAATGCTCAATGAGGTATCCTATAGTGGGTTGCTCCTAGCTTCTATATTTCTTAGTGTATTGATCAAGTGTCTGTATATTAAGGTATGGCAAATAAATTAAGCTGTTATTTATGATTAACTTAATAATCATGGTCTCAAACACATACTTTGCAGGACTAAATGTGGAATCTAAATGGGCTACAAAACCAGAGACTCAAGTAACAGGGTAGAAAGGACTTGATGAACTTGCACAGGGAGCTCAAGCAGCCTGAGTTACCTCTTGCACGAAGGAAGCGAAGCAGGAGGGACTGAGGGGGCCTAGAGATGGAGCCCTTTTCCATGAAGCTGTGACTAATGTGCAAATGGGTAAAAAGAATTAGGAGAAAATGTTTCAAGGGAGTGTTCTTCTACTGCTAAAATTCTTGTGCAAAAACTCATAGCACAAACAACAGAACATAAAGTCCTAATAAGCGATGACTAAAACATGTTAAAAAGCCTCAGTCAAGACTGTTCTCTGTGGGAGTACCTGTTGCTGTGTTAAAATACCCGTTGCTGTGTGGAAACTTACAGTATGCTTTATGAAGCTGTTTAGACTTAAAAATTCCAGTAGGCATCAGTCTCTGGACAAGCCAGTTATGTTCTACCCCTGCCAGAAGCTGCATGTAATCTTCATCCCTCAGAAATCGAGCATCAAGGATTTCTTCCTTCGTTCTCCCAGGTGTGAGGAGAAAACCACTTGCCCCTGGGCTCAGAAATGGCTCTTCAGGGGAATTCTTGTGCATCTGTGCTGATTTGTGCCATGAAATCAGAGATGAACTGGATTGCCTCTTGCTGCTCACCACGTCTTGAGACCTTTCTTCATCTTCTTCAGTAGTAGCGCAGTCAAAGTGCTTGGTTGTGGATATCTCTCCCCCTGAGGGCAAAGCTGTTGGTGCACTGGGAGCTGGTGGATGCTCTGGAACAGAGGCTGTAAAATAATTGTTTACTAAATCTCCAACAGTGATGAAATCAAATTCAGTGTCATCTATAGTTTCTGCCTGGGCATCAACATCAGGCACGTTGAGCCTTCTGTTTCCCACCGTGGCAGATTTCCTCAGCCAGTCACCTACAGAGGAGTTGCTGGCCATTCGTGGCTCAATGCTCGCTGATAGCACAGAAACAACCCCATTTGTCGGAGGACATGCGCCAAACGAGGGGTCCCCTGTGCTCCCCGCAGTTTCTCCTTCTGGGAGAGCGAGAGAGGGGGCGGAGCGGCGCGCCCGGCCGCTGTCCGTGGTCCTGCAGCACGGCCCCGCCGCCAGCTCCTCCCAGGAGGAGGTGGACTTCTTCTCCTCCTCCTCTTCCTTCTCCTCCTCTTCCTCCGGTCTCGTAGGCACAGAGTAAGGAGTGGGGAGGGAAGGATCGGCGTTACTCTCCAAGTCTGCTTTATTCAGCTTCCCAGCTTTCTGTTCTGAAGCGCTTCCGCGGTGTCTTCCCTCCCGCAGCTCTTTACCCCAGGCACAAGCCTTCTCTACCAGCCTCCCAGCCAGGGGTGTGTCTGCCTCTAAGGAAGGCTGAGGAGGTCCCAAACAGCTATGGGGAAGCTCTGGAGAAGAAGGGTGGCAGGCTCTGGGAGGCAACGGGCGCAAGTGCGCAGCCTGCCCATTTTCATCAGATTCTGTTGTGCAACATTGCTGCTCTGCTGAGCCCTTGTCCTGCTGCTGCGCTTCCCTGGGAGACTCTTCGCTGCTATTACAGTTCAGTTCCTCCCAGCTCGAGGAGTAACTTGTTTTGGACAGCTTGCACCAAGAATTTTCTGAAGTAGTGGTTTGACTCCTGTTTTGACATCTGCTGAAAATACTGTTTTCATCAGTTATTTCTGTTTCTAATGGTTCAATATCTCCATCAAAGGAAATTTTCATCACATCAGAACCGATGTGTTTATTTCTTGTTTGGCCACTGAGTCTCTCCAAGCTACTTCCTGCTGTTGGTGAATTAAGCATTTTGTCAGGACCTTTCCTCTGGTTCATGGTATCTTCAGGGGTATACACAGTGTCTATGTTTTTGGTTTCTGTTTTTAAGGTTGTGATACAAGCTCCCACTTGGGTTTCTCCTGGTGTGGTTTTATGAATCCTGCAAGAGTTTTCAAACACTTCACACACTGACAGATGATGCTGAGAATGTATGGCAAGAATTTTCTCAAAGTTGGCTTCCCCTTGCAGGATAGGTTTTTCCACTGTGCCTTTATAACTGTCTGGAACGTAAGACCTGGCATCAGAATTAGGGAAGCTTTCCACTTGCAGGCGCTTCTTAACAGATGTGATCAGAGACATGATCTCTTTGGCAAGCATTCCTTTCTCTCCCTCTTCTGCAAATGACGTGCTGTATGAATGCAGTTTTCCCATGGCCTCTCTACATAGCTGACTCACTTCATGGAGTTTCTCACTCTCCCCGTAGAGCCGTCGATGCACGGTTGTGAGGCAGAAAGCAGCTTTAATAAAACTATGGAGCTCCTGCTTGCTGGTGACAGGACTGTCATAATTCTTGGTGAGGAGGCCGATCTCAAAGGATTCTTTGGCTTCAGACAAGTAGAACTTTCTCCTTTCTGAAGAACAGTCCTTGGAGTGACTATAGGACAGCAAACACACCCCACGGATGTTCTGGGAGGGGATGAAAGAGGAATAGAGGGATTAAAAACCTGGACCTCTGTCAGAGATAAATAAAGGGAGGAAAAATGTTTCTTTCTGTTATACCATTTGAAGCAAATAGAGCTCTAACTGCTTGCTGCTGTGTTTCCTCAAGGAAACATTCTTTCTCCTTTTCCTTTGAAATCTATCTGTAGTTATAGGAGAAGGAGCAAGCCCAGAAGGGCTACAAAGCCCATCCTCGCTCTGTGGACAGATATACTGCTTTCTCCCCATCTCCTTAGCTTCTGATTGGAGTTCAGAGTAACATATAGCATCATACGCACAACACAGACACAACCCCCTGTATGATGCAATGATTCGGATTAGAGACGAATTTAGTAGCCTGCACTCTTTGCTTATACAAATAACATTTCAGAATGAGGACCTATAGAATACTTACCATGGCTGTGAGCACAAAGAGAGGGGTGTACTGGCTGTACACTGCTGCTAGTTTGCAAGCCTCAGCAGCTGACAATAAGCGATGATCGAACTCTTGGAGAAGGTTCTGGTGAAATGAAAAAAGCAAGAGGGAAACCCTGATCTCAAAAGATCTCTTTTCAAGAGATGGGTCTATCTGGTAAGCAGCCCTGTTAGACTGAAGCAAGGAAGCTTGGGCTTTGTTGTCTGTTGTAGGTTTCCTGAGCTTTCTGAGATCTTTGAGTCTTGACAGAGCAGGACATCATCTCTTAAACAACAGCCCCTACTTCTGCAGGAGTCTTTTTGCTCAGGTTTACCACAGAAGTGACACTTTTTGTCCCTAAAAATATTCTATATATTGCACAGACACAGACCCACACACTCTGTAAATATTCTTAATGTTTTTCCTGAAGCAAGGCATTCTTCCAAATAGGTGCTAATGAACTTTTTCAACAGGAGCAATGGACCTTTCTTCAGCCCCCTCAGCACAGGAGAGGAACTGGAGGAAAAACAAAGTATTGGTGAATTTGGGACAACAACATACAGTCCATCTGAAGAATATACACACACAAATACCAAATGAAGCCTTACCAGATCAATCTCAGCATTGCTTTTAAAACGTACATAATCCTTCTCGTTCATGGAAGTAAAGATGTCTGCCATAATACCCAAGGAAGTAGCAATTCCCTGAAAGAGAAACGGAAAATTGAAATAGTGCTCTTCCCCTTGTATTTTTATTTTTACTGTTCACATTAAAGTAGGTTCTATGTAAAATATACCAGAAAAAAAAACCAAACAAGATACAAAGAGAAGCACTGCTAAGAAATTCAGAGATTATGTCTTCGTAGGGTTTTATTAATTTCACCTTGCAGAAAGTGCAGCCTGGTGGACACCTATGAGTTTCCATGAGTGGCGGCTATCCTGATTACCACTAGCTCTAGGTCCAACTTAAATAGCATTGCATTTTCCTTAGCATTGCATTTCCCAAGGTGCTGTTTGTGACAATGAAAGTGATATCACCAAAACCTGCATTAAGACCTTGCCTAATCATATCTGAAAAAAGAATTGATCTGTTTTAACACTGTTTTTCACAAAAGACCATAGAAAGCAAAAAATTATGATTAAGAACTGGCCAGTTGATTCCAGTCTTTCTAAAAAGTCCAGGGTGAAGATGTCTGGACAGCTGATAGAAGTAGTAAATGCTCATCATGCACAGGCTAAGAAAACAAGCACACTTGACTAGCTTATTGCACTGTTTAAAAAACTAACATAGTTGGACAAAAGTCAAGAGTTCTTTGTGTTGGTAATTTACTCTTCAGTTTATAACTGTGTTTTTTTGTAATTTGTAATTAGTTCTACAAAACCAATTAAAAGTAAGACATGAACATGTAATATATAGATCTACGAACCTGCTAATTCTCCCTCTCTGGAAGCTTTGATTTACATGTGCTAGCTAAGGGCCTGTCCAGCTAAAAAGTTAAGAGTGCTAGGAAGCATCTGTATGCTTTCTGCAAAATTAACTACACATCTTTGCTCCTGTAGAAATGTTCTGGGATTGAGGGCAAGCTTTAAGGTATGGCAGAGGAGAGGTGACAAGGTCTGTTTTGTGGTATATCCTATGCTGGTGTACAATTACAAAACTTCTTAGAGCATCACCCTAGGACTTGCAAGACTTATGTTCACATTCCTGTTTAGCTACGGACACACGGTGTGACTGCTGCTTCATCTACAGGGGGAACATTAGCATTGCCAAGCCTCACAAAGGTGCTAAAGACAGATAAGGTAGCTGTTGTAAGGTGTTCAGACACTGCAAGTGCCAGGGAACATCCATCACCCACCATAGATAGTGTAGTACAGCTTGTGAACACTCCAGCAAATAGACATGCTTGGTTACTAGGAAATAAATTCAGACTTAGTCCTTAAAAAATAAAATAAAATAAGATAAGATAAAATAAAATAAAATCTATGACTGCATTCTGGGACTAGTCTGTCCTTCAGTCTGTCAGAAGAAGCTGTGATATCCTAGGTGATGATTCACTCCAGATTATTCTGCCTAAATAAACCTACTACTTTCATTCCCCTTCAGGAAAAGAGGTGTCTGTAAGTCTGTGTATGCATGTGGAAACAATGTGCAATATCAGCTTCAGCTAGAATATTTGTCCTGCATGTTAACCTTGCCTGAGGTGTGTAATTGAAACATTACTGCTAAAAGACTTTTCTGACATAAACAAAAGCTAATCTGGAATGATTATTAGATTGGCAAGGCTATCCAGGGACAAAAGGAAATCCTACCTTTTTATCTGGTTGAGGTAGTTCAAAATATCCCACAACTGAAGCCCAAATCAACTCTGCTGCCTCATACCACATGCCTGAAACAAATCAAAAGAATGGTCATTAAGCAAATTACTGCTACAGATGGCTTTCGGTAGTTTATTTTACACTTTACTTGAGTTAGGAGCCCTCGAACCAGTATAAAACCATACCATGGCATTTTTTGCTTTGGTGACACTAGACATTTATTAGTTTCCTTTAGCTTTGGGCTGTGCATAAACACACATTTTGCTCATGAAAGTTCAACAGTCATGGAAGATGAAAGGTCATGCCAAAAGCATAATATTAAGGCCATTGGGCTCAGGTACCAAGCCCTGAATACAAAAGCCCATCATGCTGAAACTGAGGGAGTTTCTTGTATTGAGAGAGGAAATTGCTGGGATGTTCCTGTGATAAGCTACTGCATGCCTTTGGGAACAGCAAATTTGTGAAAAGAGTTAGCAAACATAGATTAGCACAGGGAAAAAGGGAACAATGTTTCAGACTGCTCCTCGACTTCTGCTAAGATTAATAATAAAACACTGATTTCTGAAATGTGTTTGCTTGGTACTTGGCTCCAGGTCCTTGCTGCAAACAGATGTGTGTACGACTCCCCTGTGGCTGTGTTATGGGCATCAGGCAGATCAAGCTAAAATGCTGACATATGACAAATGCACCATTCTCAAGCTTGACTGCAAATCAAAAAATAGTGGGAAAACTTGAAGAGATGTTTATAGACGAAAGCCTTACCAAGCTTTTGCAGAATCTGTCCTCTGATTTGTAAGCAGACTGACTGAACGAGGATCCTATCGCTTTCCTTGGCATATTGCCAGGTACCTGCAGAAAGAGCTGAAAAACTCAGTACAGAATGAAAAATGCTGCTGTCACTTTAAGCCTCTGAGGGCAACCTAAATCCCCATTGATTCTCCCCATTCCGACATTGAACAGTTTCAATACAAAGTTACAGTTTTCACATTTTAGCAAAGAATGGTGAAGAAAAGATAAATGTGGTGTAAGGAGCCATTACTGAGGTCAAGTTGGCTGTACTTGAGGCTTGTGTGACTGTTAAAATTAGTACCAAAAAATCCCATCAAAATAGCAACTATGATATTAGAAAAGATATACAGACGTACCTGTCGCTCCATTGTCATTAATAAGGCTGCTTAGGATATATTCAGCTTTTAAAAGCTTACCTGATTAAAAAAAAAAAGGCAAATTAATATAAAACTGTATCATGAAGTGAACAAAAATACTCATCTGTGAAAGCCCCTGCAAATTGCACTCTTCTTCCCAGCACTGTCATTGTGTCCATACTTAGACTAAACTTTTCAGTTAAGTGTGCACTGCGGATGCTACCTCATGCTCAGGAACCTTTTTGACATAGTCTGTTTCACATGGAAAAAAATACCGCAAAACACACTGATGAGGCAACTTCTAGCTAGACACTTGCTTCAGAAAAATCTCTGCCGTATAATATTTAACCTGATACATCGCAACATCACCTGCAGATAGATTTGTTGCTGTCAATATTCATAAATGTACAGACACTACATCCTGTAATATGCAGTTGGACAGTAAGGTGAAATTACATGTACATCTGTTTTACTCAACACACTACACATTCCTGGAAGAGTGCTTACTCTGAAAATGTGGGACAGGCTTCCTCGAGCCAGGCTCTGGTATTTGTGTTGAATTTCTGTGCATGCTGCCTACACTCTAGAGTGCGGCTTCAGTAAACCCACTACAAGGAGCAAACACCAGATACCTCTCTTTTACAGGGGAGGCTAAGGCTGTGTGTTGGTTTCAGGGTAAATCCGGCTGTTAGTACAAGCCTGTGGTAGGCAGATGGCTGCAGGCACCCATTTCTTGCTCCCATGCATTGGGCTGCTGCAGGATTCACAGCAGGGGAGGCGGCAACAAGACTGAGGCAGGCACTGATGTGCTGGCCACCCCACGGGCTGGGAATCCCTGCTCTTGCTTCTCTTGCAGAAGAAAGCAGCCTAGCCTGCTTCCCTCAGCAGCAGAGCTGCCTGCTTCTGTCCCAAGGAAACATGGGTTTTCTAAATTGAAACTCATTCTGGTCTCACTGGGGAGTTCATCATGAGGGGGAGCTCTGCAGATGCCGTTCAGAGTCAGCTGAGTTGATGTCCCACCACAGAAAGCATAGCCACAGGCTATGCTGCCTCCCTGGCACTCTCTGTTTAGCTTTTAAGAACCACCCTAAGCACAGAACCTATAGCCAAAACCCCAGCATAGAGAGGATGCAGCATGCAACACCACCTGGGGATTTTGCATGTCAGTCACCTGTCGTACGGCGCAGAGGCTCTGTCGCATGGCCTGAGCCATCCGTGGTTGGCTTGGTGGGCTGCAGGAGATGCCTTAAGGTCTAATTGGATAGTTTTATTCATGTCGGACCTTGCTTTTTGTCTCAATTGTCCAGCTGAATTCAAGAAGGCTGCTCCAGCCAGTGAAGCGGTGTCAGTGCTGGCTGAACTAGCCCAGCAATTGGAGTGTGGCAGTGCCCAGCCACCATGGCAGTGGGAGCATGAGAAACCCACAGCCACAAATGAAAATGGCTATGCAGCGAAATTATAGTTCTCTTTTCTGGAAATAAAATACTCCTCAATTGTGTTTCTCAGAGCAGGTCTGTTAGGCTTTGCTTTCCTCTCCCCAGTGGGACAGTAGGAAGATGATACATTAAAAATCCTTCAGGTGTTGCCCATGTCATAGGAATGATGGAATTTTTATTTATTTTTTTTTTAAATCAGTCTATCCTCGAAGGGTTGTAAGCTGTATTGTTTGCATAGTCAAGTGGTCCCACTGAAAAAAAAAAAGCAGCTGGGACAGTACAGAGAAAATGCCAGGATTCTAATTTACTTTTTAAAGGCCCTTGGTCAGAAGTATAGCAATTCAGATATCCCTGTTTGAAACCAGCAGGGAAGATTTGTTAAGGAACAAAAGCTCCAATTAGTATTTTCCACACCCTTTCACAATTTTCTCTCCTGCTTTTGGCTCTGAAACCCTTTATACCAGCCCCTTTGTGCTAGTGAGAGGAGCTGGGAGGGCTCGAGGGGGCTGGGAGTGGGCTGTGTGTTTGAAAAGATGGCACTGGGGCCATAAGCATGTCATCCCCAGAAAGGGACAAAGTATCTTCTTCAAAGTCAAGTAGTTCCTAATTGGGCCTGAGCTGAGAAAATGGCGCGGTGGCTCCCTGGGAGCTGGTACCTGCGTTGACGGAGAGGCGAGCCTGGCGGATGACCACCTGCGGGCCGATCGGCGTGGTGGGCTGCAGCTTGTGCAGACCCTTGGCGATCTGAAGAAGTTTGCTGGAGGCATCAATCCAATATAGGAACCGGTCAATCAGGAACACAATAGCAGCTGCCGTTACACAGTCCTTGACCATGATGGAGGCTCTCAAATAGACCTGAAAAGAACACCAGCGCCATGGGGCAGCCTTGGAGAAAGTCACCTCGCAAAGGCTCAGCTAACTGTTTACAGAAAATATTAAGCTTTGCCTAATGGTGCTGCCTACACAGCATTTTAAAACAGATTGAATATCCTCAGTTATTTGCTGTAAGGCAGCTCCACAGTTTTATAGCAAGTGAAGTACTGAACACTATGAGAAGCAAATATGCACTAGCAATTAAAAGGCTGTCCCAAAATTTCTACTCACATTTAAATCTTTGCATTCCTAGGAATTTGTACACAGGAGTAAGTTGTTGTGGCAGTTATCAGACAGGATTTATTATAACCTATAATTATGACTATTTATGGTTATATTTTCATTTTTAAGATAGGAAGGTTCCAGTTGTTCATTTTGTTTGAACTGTAGATACCGTTCCTGATTTTTTTTTTGGTCTTTCTAATTGTTGTTTAGTATTGGAAGCCACATAGTTTGGTGATCTGTTGGTGAATTTAAACCATGCAAACTCTCTTGGATTCCCACAGCAGCTGAGTCATCACAGTGACATGAGGAATCAGCCAGAGCTCCTGAGACAGCACACTGTGCTAGGTGACAGGAGGCCATCGAGGCAGCCATGAGGAGGCACACAGCCTCATTGCAGCTGCAGAAGTCCACAAGGACCTAGAGAGATCTGCCGAAAAACTGACCCATCCTGTGGTGGGCAGGGGTCAGCACTCCTGCTGGCAATGGTCAAGTTCTGCTTTGTGGTTTGGTAAATCACCAGAGGAAAAAGAAACCCAGAAAACACCTCAAACCATATGAAGCCTCCTCAGAAGAAGGATGTGCTTCTCAGCTCATGCATGTCAGCGAGTAGCTCTACTAACGACAGAGTAAAACAGCACAGGGGAGGGAGGATCAGGCCCCACAGCACCATCAGAGGATGAGAGACTGACAAGAAAACTTTGTCCAAACCCACACTGAAACATCAAGTTTGGCAGCTATCTCCCATTTTTGTCTTAGCATCAGTCTCCTTCCCTTGCCCTCCCTGTGTGAACACCCAGGCAGAGCCAGAGAGACACCAGTGTCACTACCTGCTTCAGACACCACCAAGGCTCCTTGGGCACACTCCCTGGGCTCCTCCCTGCCTGATTTCTATTGTCTTTGCTTTCAGCTCAGAGCTCCACAACCTGACAAGACTTGTTCTTGCTTTTTAGCAGCATAACCACCATCTGATCTGGGGGAGGAACTGTAGCAGCCTGACCAAATGACATTTAGTTGTTTCACGGGCACAGAGCCCTCTGTGGTGCAAGAGAAAGCCCACGTCAAACGGGTTGGAGAAGAGCCTACAGTATACGGCAGGAAGGCCAGCTTGTCGCACTGATCTGTTGCAAGTATTTGCTAGCTTGTTTGCACTTCACTGAGGCGGATTTGTACAAATTTCCTTTTTTCCTGAGCTCAAGTTGGATTTTCTAAGAGGCTGGCACTTGAAAAGGATTCCTGGAGCTGGGCACGCACGGCTCCGCTTGTGCTGGTCAACAATGGAGGGATCCCCCTCTCTAAGCACCTGTAAACTGACACTGCAAACCAGCCATTCGAAATGCTATGAACAGGCCATATATTTAAGCACAGAGCATCGCCTAATCTATTTTTTTTCCTCCCCTTCTTCCTTTAATAGATCGGAGCACAAAAGCCTGAGAGAGGGTGACCTACCAAACAAAAGGGCCTTTGAGTCCCTAGGAAAAGTAGACTTGGAGGAGGATGGAAGGAATCCAAGTGGCCCTATTATTTCCACTTGCACTAATTAGACATTTTTCTGTCAGCTATTGAGCACTGCTGAGAGGCCAAACTCACTGAATTCATTTCTAAAGTGTTTACAGAAGTTTGCATCTGTTTGTGTCTCTTCAGGAGGAAAATAAGCACTTCAATAGCATTGTGGAAAATCTAAACGAAGCATCCTATTCTGAAGGGCTTGGCAGTCTTGCAGCTGCATAACTTAACTCTCCGCTCAATGCTGAAACCTCTTGTGTCCCTCTCCAAAACCAAATGGATGCAAAACGTAGAAAAGTCAAGCAAGGGAGAGAAACCCGGTTATTTTTTTTTTAAAGGCAGGGCTGCACGCTGTGTGGCACACAGAAACACGGTTCGACGTCAATCTTTGCAATTATGTCCCCCTGTTCCAAGCAGTACACTGAGCAATTCATACCCGCTCCTTTCATTCACTGCCAACTCGTGTGGCTGGAAAATTCCTCAGCACCTTCAGATCGTGCCGGACACGCACACAAAACCCGCACAAAGACACTCCCCTCGCCACTCGTAAATATAACACGCGGCTCCCTGTCACCCAGCCCAGACCCAGGGAAACTCTGTTGACTTCAGAGGTGTCACAGCCAGAAACTCCGCGCCGCTTGCTGCGCACGGACACTTTGTTCTGTAAACAGATTTACTCACTTTCTTTATCACTTTAAAGCCTATGTAGATGCATCAAGAGAGAGAGAAAGAGCGAGGTACGTGCACACTTTGTTTTAACATCTGTGTCCATGATGTGCAATGCATATGTCTAATTGAGTTTATGACACAAAGGGAACCTCGCGGCTGGGAAGTGGAATCAGGTGGTGACAGAATTAAATTTGCACGAGATTTCTATACACGGACCATTGGGGAAAATGCAAAGCAGCCTTTAGTGAAGGGTTTGTCCTTAATGGCGATGAGTGGGAGGGTGTGCTGTTTGCATGGTTTCCTGCATTAGCGAGTTAGCTCCTCCTCACACCGGGACTGAAGTTTGGGTCCCAGCTTTGGGTTCAAAGCCACGACGCCTCCTTTGCATGGACAATGGGGGCTGCTCCCAAGGGAGGGGAGAAGCTCAGAACAGGGGCCATCTGGCACTAGAACTGGCAGGAAAGCGTCAAAGGGAAATTATTGGTGCATAGTAAATGAGGATGAGGAGGAGGGGAAGAAAATAGGGGAAAATCTTTATGTGGCAGCTGATGTAAGAGGAATTACAAGCCAAAATAAATGAAATATTGATTTAATCCACTCTCTCTGCCCTCTTTATAAAGCAAGGATCCCACAGGCACACCCCCACCCACACCCCCCCGCAGCCTCAGATCAGGAGGGTCCCCTTTGGAAAAACGTCTCTACAAGCAGTGAGGTTAGAAATTGGGCAGGAATAATTTCATTTTCAGAATATTCCTGCAGTTTTACAGACACTCTGGATTCCTGTGTTGGCTTATATCCATTCGCCTCAGACTATTTCAGTCTTTGTTTCATTTGTAACTGTGGCTGAGGTTTAAAATCTTAGGAAAAAAAAAAACCCCAAGAGCAGTCAACAAAGAAATTCTAAGTCTGCACAGAGGGCAGGAGTTTCAGTGGCATGTACTTCTAGGTGCCTTAATTCTCTCACAAGAGCTGTTCCTAGTTAGCACTTCACTGAACCCTAACAAATTGCCGTTTGCTTTCCACCTACACTCGTCCCCTGTCAGATTAAACACAGTCACAACACCAATGGCTCTGGCTGAAGTCTCAACCCTTTTACCCCACGCACTGTTAGCAAAGCCTGTCTTTCCAAGAGACCAAAGCCGCTGTCACCGCATGGGACTTCTCTATCAATCTCTGCCTTTCAGCTGGCAATCAGAGCCCACTTGGCAAATAACAATGAATTAAGCCTCCTACAACCTCCGTGATGGGCAGAAGAAAGCAGGTCTGTGATGTGCAGGTGGATACTCTTGAAACACAGGACAGTCAAGTCACACAGTAAATAGCTACAGCCTGATGAACAAGAAGCTTCTGGACACTTTCCCCTCTGCTCAGAGCAGCAGAGAACCCCATTTAATGGCTTGATTTTCTGAAGCTGTTAATTAGCTCAAGTTATTCATCCTGCAGGCAATGGAGAGCTGGGTGTTTATTCAATGAGAGCAGCATTAGGTCCATTATTAGCAGCTCAAACCACCACAGAATAGGTCAGGTTTTTTACAACTGACCATGTCTTGCTTCACAAACTGAGAAAGTACTAGAGCGAGAATAACCCCTGCTTTTATCAATAGCCTCCCTTTTTTGGCAATTTAACTTGCCACTGATTTAATTTTACTACTATTGGCATGTTCCACGTGCTGTTCTTGGCTTCCACTCTCTCAGTGAGGGACACTGCCGTCTGCAGGAAGCAGAGCTCCAGCAGACCCGTGCCTGGATGGTCCTGCAGGCAGGGCTGGCTCCTGTGCTGCAGCCCCATCCCTGTCAGGGCAGAGGGGGCCTCCTGCAGCCCCCCAACACAAAGCAGAGAAGGCATCATCCCTGCCCAAGCTGCTGGTCGCATGTAACTCCCAGTGTTGATTGCGGACAGAGGCGATGAAGGGTGCGCACCTACCTGCAGGGGCAAGTGGAAGAACCATCTGTGTGATGAGCTGGAGAGGTCTCAGGCAGGAGGAAAGCAGCAGGTGCCTCAGGCTGCTGAACAGCAGCATGTTGGGGCCAGGACAGAAGCACAGCCCTTCAAAGTGCCAAGGAAGCTCCTCAAGCAGATACCTGACAAGGCAGCAGGGATTTGGGGGGACTGCAGTCTTCTGCAGGAGTGCCCCATTTTTACTTCTTACCAATAATGGGTGCAGTAATAATTTTGTGGCCCTGATTAGTCCAGCTCAAGCTCTAGACTATTTATAAACTATTGTGGTACATTAAAACACTATCTTGAAGGGGATATTTTAATACTTAAAAATAGCTAAGTGCGAGTCAGAGAACTCCCCCCCCTCCCCAGGCCCCAAGAGGGCGGCATCAACACCATTATAATCAGCTAAAAATCCAAGAGTCTCTTTCCTAAATCTGTGTTCTCAAAACATACATCCATTTGAGAAGTAGTTTAATTTGGAAGGAAACCACAAGATAGCCCTCTCAGTAATACAACATTTCAAGTATTTTCCAGGGAGGAAAATATTCCACGAAGCCACATCAGAGAACAGCAAACCCTACCCATAAGCAAAAAGAACTGATATCCCTATAGGTACCCAGGATCAGACTTCACATTTTTTATT